GACATCATGAACTGACAGACATTGCGATAGCACTGCAGAAGAATCCTAAGCTGAGTGTTCTCCACAAACTTGGAGTGATCTTTGCACCTGAAGAATGCAATCATGAGTTCAGTGGACAGACAGACAGGCAATGAGTGAATGCATACCAACTGCACGACGGCTTTAACCGCATTTTGCCGCCGACACAGGCCTTACACACGTGGTGTTGACAGGAACTGATGGTCGAAGACATGGGAACAGTGAGCAGCTGTCCGCAGACACAACACGTGAGCGCCTGTCGTAAGTAGAGTACGAGTCGGTTGATGTCAGCCCACGCGCCCATGTCTTCGCACGAAGACTGGAATATCATACGACATGTCGTCACGTATAGACTCAACGCATTCATTGCCATCACTTCCACGCATCCATTCTCCAGACAATTGGTTACCGTTTCTGCCAAAAGACACAACAAATCAAACAATCGGTCACTCATTCAGTGGTTGACAGTCACTCACAAAACGCTGCACTCAACGCATCCAATGAATCCATACTTAAGTCATATTTGAGTGCACTTTGTATTCATTGAAACACTGCTCAAAATGGATTTGATTTGATTTGAATTGATTTATAAATTGCTTTTTGTTTACAAAACACTCAATAGTTAATCAAACAATACATTGGGAGTGGCCTTCACTGCACTAATACACTAGTGTTGCATATCACACATCCACTCAACCTATTCAGTAGTCACACACATCCAATATGGACTAAATCTAACTCCACCTGGATCAATTAGGATTGTATAATTATATATAATTACCATTAAAGAGTAATACAATTATTCGCCAAATATAAACATGTTTTGCGGTTTTTATATCATTTACAACACTATTATTACACAATACAGTGGCACTCAAGTGTGATTATACTGAACATAAATTATGTCAATATATAGTTTGTTTAAAATATATCATAATCTATCAAATAAGTACAATTAACAATATTTTTTAAATAAAATTTAAATATTATGTAAATTGATTAGATTTGTAATGTTTGTGGTGGTAATCATAGAAATATAAGCACACAATAGTGCCATAGATTAGCACTTTATAACATTTGGTGTGCATTTGGTTGTCGTCATTGATGTCTATTTATATGAAGTGTTTGTTTGCATTGAATGTGTTGTCGATTGACTCGTGAGTGAAATGTCAGTCAAAGCGTTGACCAGATTTGGATCACATGTGAAGGAAATGAGACTTCACTTGTGTCTCACATCGGACTCCAGTTCTGGTGTCAGGTATGGGTGACTGTGTTTGCACCACATCTGTGACAATGTCTTGATTACAGAGACTTCATAGCCAGACATTACCCGCGAGTGAAGCAAACGAATCC